TCCACACACAGTCTACACACACCTCCCTATGCACTCCACACACACCACACACACACTTCACAGACTCCACACACAGTCTACACACACCTCCCTATACACTCCACACACACCACACACACACTTCACAGACTCCACACACAGTCTACACACACCTCCCTATACACTCCACACACATACTTCACAGACTCCACACACAGTCTACACACACCTCCCTATGCACTCCACACACACCACACTTCACAGACTCCACACACCTCCCTATGCACTCCACACACACCACACACACACTTCACAGACTCCACACACAGTCTACACACACCCCCTATGCCCTCCACACACACACACCCCACAAACAATCCACACAGTTTACACACACTGTACACACCCCACACCCTGAGTGAATCTACTGAGCAAACAACAACAAGAACGTATTCAAATGCATGACAAGCTGGTGCCTCGTGCTGTCTGACCAGACAATTTGGAGCCCTACAAGATAATTAAATATAATCATTATTAATGATTCTCCTCTGAGGATTACTGCTCCAGATGCCCAGTGACGCGAGTCTGAGTGGCCTGGCAGATTGGGGCCCTTGCGGGGCGGTGCAGTGCCAGCCTTACCCAGGAGAGGCAGGATGACGGGGTAGTTGTAAGGCATGACGAAGAGGTTGACGCAGGTGAGCGTGGTGCTGGCCTTCAGGTAGCCGAAGGGCTGGCCCAGGTCACTGTGCTTCCCGCTGCTGGACACGAACACCTGCAGGACACGGAGGGGACATCAAGCTGGAGCTACGGGGCACGCGGATCAGCCCCACCCCCGAACCATGCCGGAGCCCCCACCTGCCAGCACACATGCGGCGTCTTCCTCTCCAGGATGTACTGCGTCAGAGGGGACGGCTCCAGCTCGTACTTGTCAAAGGGCAGCTTGTCGATCACCATGGGCTCGCAGTCGACGCAGGAGAAACGCACCTGGGGGTGGGAGGGTCGCGGGGGCTGGTGGGGCGGGGCGGGGGAGGGGGGGGGAGGCCGCGTCAGCATCGGCGTCAGGCGCCTACACAGCTACACAGAGAGCCTCAGCGGCCAGCCGGCTCGTTTGGCCTCTAATCTAAGGCACACTCTCACAGAAAGGAGCGCTACAGATCAGCTTGCAAAAAGAGACCATTTAAACACTTTAGCTTCCATCCCACACAAACTCTGGAACAAACAGAAGAGTTCCTGTTGCGGAGGAAAAGAGCAGCCCTGCTGCTGTGCTCTGACACAGTCACTGTACCCACTGACAGAGTCACTGTATGCACAGACACAGTCACTGTAATTCTTGACTCAGCCACTGTACTCCCTGACACAATCACAGTACATGCCGACAGTCACTGCACATGCCAACAGTCACTGTACTCCCTAGCAGTCACGGTACACACTGGCAGTCACTGCACATGCCGACAGTCACTGTACATGCCGACAGTCACTGTACACACAAACACAGTGACTGTACACACCAACACATTAACTTTACACACCAACAGTCATTGTACTCCCTGACACAGTCACTGTACTGGTTGACACAGACACTGTACATGCCGACAGTCAGTGTACACCCTAACACAGTCACTGTACACCCTAACACTGTCACTGTACTGGCCAACAGACACTGTACATGCCGACAGTCAGTGTACACCCTAACACAGTCACTGTACACCCTAACACTGTCACTGTACTGGTCAACAGACACTGTACATGCCGACAGTCAGTGTACACCCTGAAACAGTCACTGAACACCCTGACAATCACTGTGATAGTGACATTAACATCTAACAATGTTTAGGTTGATGTGTTAAGGCTTCCCTTATAGTCCATGCATGGCCATATATGCAGACTCTGGTGTACATGCTACAGATGTCTATGGCTGCAGATGGTCGTGGTCAGCACACAGGAACAATATTCCACCAGACCAGCACAGGGCAGATGTATTGCAACAAACACAAATACAAGCAATGTAGTGATAGGGGTACACTTTTATGGACAGGTTTAAAGTTGTTATTGTGCTTGGGCGGTATTAGCTAATACAGGATAGCACAGTATTTCGAAATCTTGACAACAAAATTAGCCTGGACGCCTAAACCCCCCCCCCGGCCTGCTTAGCAAATTTCAAAACCCAAAATAGTGTTGCTTTCGATAATATCATTTAAATACACTTCGGCATGGCGTACAATTCTTAGAAAGCTAAATATGGCAGAGACAACAGATCTCTGATTCTATGCCTCTTCGTCAGTTTAAATAGAGATACTCTAAGCAGAGTCATTACGGATGTGACTTAAATATCTCTTGATGTTTTTTAAATAAAGCATTTGCACTTTTCTTTAGAGCCTGTGTCTTGAGCCAACTCATTGATTAGCTGTTTGCCTAATCACGTGATTAATCATCAAAACAGTCGTTTATTGGAGCCTTACTGCAGCCTGACACTGTCGGCGAAATCACACCAGCTTCAATTACTTTAAACGTCCAGACACCAAAACCAGAGGAACGCGGAAGTAAAGCACGGGGCCCGTTCAGGCCCGTTCAGCAGCACCGCTCCCTACTCACCAGGGTGGGCGAGTTCTGGTCGGGCCAGAAGGATTCAGGAATGGGCCAGTGGCCTACAGGGACCCCTGTCTTGGGGTTGGGCCGCACATAGATCAGCTTGTGACAGCTGTGCCAAGACTGTGGTCCAGTGGGAAGCGGGGGGCGTACCGGGTCCAGCAGGCCATCTGCAGGAGGAGGGCAGAACCAGTGACCGATGGGGGGCATCAAACGGTCACAGAACCATGCAGTCATTAGCTAACAGCCATGAGGACCTTACAGAGCTACTTAAAAACGGGCATTTCAGCACAGCGAGATTAAGCTCTGAAATCACACAGGCGCAAACAGATCATCTGTGAACGCTGGCTGGAGGTGCCGCATGGCCGTCGCCGTACCGTCGTTCAGCAGGGGCGGATCTGGGCCCGTCTTCTCAAAGTTTATGACCACGCCGCTCAGAACCTTCTGCACCAGCGACTCCAGGCACTGATTCAGCATACGCTGGGTCCGCACGCAGTAAGACCGGCCTAAGACAGGGGGTGTTGGAGAAGGTCCATTATCTGCCGTGACCGTCATCATGTGACCAGCCAAGGCAGCTGGAAACAGGCCTTCCTAACACACAAGAGCCGTTTCTGGATTTTCAGCTCCACTCTAACCCGCCCTGAACTTGCATCCATATCATCTACTACAGTGCAGTATTTGCTCTCAAAGAATTACTCTCCATGTCAAATTTATGAACATGATCACCTCTCCATTGGTTCACTAGGCTGTGAGGGGAGGGGCTTAGAAAAGACTACCTGCCCACCATTGGCTGTGGTGAAGGCTAAAGTCACGCAGTACAAGTACAAGCCCTGTTTCCACTGCGTGAGATTTCAGGCAAACTGGCAGGCAGCCCCAAACCGCTATAAATTCTTCAACACATGAGAAACTCATCAGAACTAACCATCCACTTTCTAATGCTGATCATGGTCACGGTGGGGGCCCAGAGGCCGTCCCAGAATGCACAGGGCTCGAGCTGGGATGCACCCTGGGTTGGACGCCAGTTAGAGGTGACTAGCAGGGTCCCCATGAGCAGCTGGCAGCGTGTGGCGGCTCGTACCTCCGGTGACCTCGCACATCTGCGTGATGGCCGACTCATCGCTGGGCACGCTGCCGAGCTGCTCGCTATCGGGGACGGCGGCGCCCGGGAGACGCAGAACCAGGGCGAAGAGGCGCTGGTCCCAGCGGAAGGGCTCCTTGGTCAGCTCACTGCCGGGCAGGGGCGAGTGCAGGGGCAGGTGCAGCTGGGGGAGCACAGGCAGCAGCCAGGACGGCCGCGCCGGGTCAGTGACGCCGAGCGGGACCCACGCGCGGGCTCCGCATGAAACAGGCGCTTCCCTCACCTCCTCCTGCACCCCCGAGCTGTGCGTCAACCGGCTCCCATCCGTGATGGTGATGATCACCGACGGCTCCAGGAAGAAGGGGTTCCGGCCCTGTGGACAGGACGGGGCGGGATGGTCAGCCATCGAGTCATTGTCGAGTCACCGTGTCGCACGTTTAGGGGAGACATAAAGGCAATTGGAGAAGCTCCAACCCAGCATACTGGTCTCCAGGGCCACCAGTGTCTCCAGTCCAGGAGGACCATGGTCTGGGATATTAGACAGGTCTCTTAACACCAGACACCAGCGTCTCTAGCCCAGGACGAAAGCTTCATGCCACTTGATAGGGCCTCTTCTCGCCTGTGTCCTGCTGGACCTTCTCCCGCCTGCCTTCTGTCCCAGGCCCGTCACTGACAGTGTCCCGCTGGCTGCTACGCTTAGCCTCAGGGCTAGCATTAAGAATCCAGGTGGCCTGTGACCTTCCCCAGCAGAGACGCTTCCTCTGCATCAGTCGCTGGTCCAGCACCAGCTTCCATCCAGGTATCTCTGACTCAATGACTGGCATGCTATACAGACACACACTCACCCCCACAGACCCACAGGCTCAAAGACACACATGCTCACAGACACACACTCACCACCACAGACCCACAGACTCACAGACACACATGCTCACAGACACACACTCACCTCCACAGACCCACAGACTCACAGACACACATGCTCACAGACACACACTCACCTCCACAGACCCACAGGCTCACAGACATAAACATGCACACACACATATTTGATCCCAGACACACGCACACAAATGCACATACGCTCACAGACACACACACACACAATCACCTCCACAGACACACATACATATGCACAGACACATATACATATGCAGAGAGAGACACACACAAACACTCACAGACAAACACATACGCTCACACCTCTCATATGCACACACACACTCATACACACACCCAGGCTAACAGACACACATGCATGTTCACAGACCCATGCATGCACGCACGTGCACGCACAACCACACACAGGTTTGCAATTATATCTTTGTGGGGACTCTCCATTCATTTCAATGGGGAAAATGCTAATCCCAACATAACGACCTTGACCCCTACCCAGCCCTGAATTTAATAATAAGTAACCAAACAAAATACATGCGGCATTTTTAGTTTTTTAATTGCATTCATCTGAAAAATGGTCCCCACAACATGAAAATAACAGGTTCATATGACTTTTGGGGGACATTTGGTCCCCACAATGTAATATAAACATAATCCACACACACTCACACACACACTGACTCCCCCCACCTCCTCCCACAGCGCTCTGGCCACACCCCCTAGCTTCCACCCCGCCCCCCTTCATGCTCTGGCCCGTAGAGCATATGACTGAGGTCACAGCACTGGTCGGCCTGCGCAGGGCAGCAGCACTCTCCCGGACTGTACCACGCTGCTTACGCTCCTCCTGAAATGCGGAGCTCTCCCCCGAGTCCTATCATTAGTGGAACATGCCTGAATTTCAGCCAAGCTCAGGGTGGAACAGGCAGCTTTTCACGCCTTTCTTTCTGCAGGAGTGACATAGGGCAGTGAGCGGCCACCATACCTGGCCGTAGTTGTCGATCCCGGAGACGAGGCGGTTGAGATTGAGCAGGTCGAAGGCGGCCCGGAGAGCATGGCCCAGGGTGCTGAGGCCCAAAGCCTGCAGGTTCTTCAGCTCGGCCATGAATGAGGCGTGGTTCTCTTTCCAGCCAGCCTGCAGTGGGTGGCAAAGCGCATCAATAAACACGCATGTAGAAGCACTAACAGTAACAGCACACCAAAAACAAGCGCATTTATTTATAGAACAGGAACAGCCCTGGTGAATTCATACCCCACTAATAATTTATGCCCTTAACCACTGTGCCACCTGCTGGTAACACACAAAACTGCATCTTAGTGCTGTATTCACAACATGGCCACTATAGGCTTTCTGCCACCATACCTCTGCTACTAACTGCAGTGCACAGAGTACACTGTATGCAGGGGGACTGCTGGAGAGAGCAGGCCACAGAAAGCACCAGTACTGACAGCCGCCTATAAGCAGCGATCGAGGTCCGAGACGGGCCGTTGGACGCTATTATTACGGCCCTGAGTAAGACGCTTAACCCAGAGGCCTGAGTCAATACCCCAGAGCTGGAAGGGGAATTACAGGGATCCGGCACTCCTTAGGTCACTCCGGATAAGTGTCTGAAGTGAAGAAATAATCAAGGGATCAGACTAAGCAAAGTATTTATTGACCGCAGCGAGCTCTGGGATCTGACCCCACGCATCTCTGTTTAAGCAGTGGGGCTCTAAACAAAGCTCATGCTGACACTAAAGACTACAAACAAAAAGATTACAGTAGATTCCCTCATCAGACGAATGAGGAAGACATTCCATTTTATAAACGGGGGCCCACTGAAGGGCCCTGAGGCTGTGGGTGAGGTCCAAAAACAAGGGCTGATCCCACCGCGCTTTAGGTCATAGCTGAGTGCCAAACCAACAGAGCGGGAATGACAGACAGCCCACGGGAGCGAGGTGGTCCCTACAGGCCACCCCCCAGCACAGCGGCGGCCATGCGGCAATGCGGGGGCGTGGGGATGGTTCTCACCCTGCATCCAGGCTTCATGTGTCTTACTCATCTGACAGGGCCTCTCCTCCCAACGCGTCGGCTGCACGATGGTGATAAATTACGTTATCCAGCTGGATATCAGCACACATACAGCACTGGGCAAAAGTCAGAGGAAATTCTGTTTAAAGCTATTTATCTGTGCAGCATGATATCTGGCTGGATGGCTAGATGAGATGAACCTCTCCTCAGGGACACCCCAGCCATTCCATGGATTTCTTACATTCCAAAACGAGCTCACTTAATTAATTCACTTAACCAGTTAAATAACTGAGGAGTCGTTGATTAGCTAGACGTGGCATGCTAATGGTTGAGTAAACGTGAGTATTTTGAATGGCTATTGCAAAGATTGTGGGGACTTTAGGAGAAGCTCTGGAATGGTTAAGCTGACACACTATGAAAGACATAATATCATGTTTTGTCACCAGCATAAAGATCATTTAAATGAAACATCATTTCCTTCAGCGGCTGAGCCCTTCGCTCAGTGCTGTATGTCGCAGCTGCACTGCGCCTAGGTGGGTAGGGCCCCCCCCTCACAACGCCAGGCATGGGGGTTTCAACCCCACCCCTGCTGTGCGTGCGGAGTTTGCATGTTCCATCCTGCAGTGCAAAGACATGCTCGTAGGGGAGCTGGCGTCTTTTCACTGCCTGTAGCGTGTATGTGCCCTGCGACAGACTGGCATCCCGTTCAGGCTGTTCCTGTGCTGCCTGGGATGGCATCCAGGCTGCCTGGTAAACCCAGATAATCAGTAAGAAAATGGGCAGGCATCCATCCATCCATCCACCCTGTTCAGGGCTGCAAGGCTGCAGGTGTCCAGAGCCTACAGGCACAATGCAGGGAATCACCCAGCTGGGGCACCAACCCTTCACAGAACACACTCACACACAATTCACACCTAGGCAATTGACCTCAGCATGCTTTTGGACTGTGGGGGGCGGGGGGGGGAACCAGAGTACCCAGAGGAAACCCCATAATGACACAGGGAGACCATGCAAACTCCACACCCATGGAGCCATGGCAGAGACTTGAACCCAGGTCTAAGAGGTAAGAGGCACCAGTGCTAACCACTGCACTGCCCCAAGTGGTCGGCCAGTATTACTGCAACAGATAGTAAAAAGTCACTGATCCGTTCCATGGAAATTAACAGCACCTACAACTCAGACTTTATTTACTCAGCAGATCCTTATCTGTAGTTCAGAAGCCCGACAGTCAGACAAGCAGCAGATCAATGGCGCATGTGACCACACGCTGTGCCTAAACAAACGGCAATCACCCATCACACAGACTCCCGCTTAGGGTGGCGCGCCACGCGAGGAGGGGGCCGCTACGCTCAGGACAGCGGGAGGAAGGAGATGCTCCGGATCGCTGACGGCGGCCATTCCCGGAAAAGGACGGAGACACGAGAGCACAGCGGGGTCAGGTGCGGAAACGGTGCTCAGTCAGATAAACACCGAGGAAAGTGGAGGAACGCTAATTTACCTTTTTTGGTCGTATTATTAACGGTTTCCCGGGCAACACCTTAAGCGGATGCCGGATCAGACAGAAGAGACGGATTCCTTTCCTGCTTTACCTTCCAGCACCCAGGAAAAATGTAAACAGAGCAAGGTGCTGGGGAGGACTGGGGGGGGGGGCGTGTCTCCCATGCGTTATCTGCCCCACATATCCTCAGGGGTCCACGGGGGCTGTTTCTGAACATCGTTGGACCTGACAGGCCACATGCTGCCCGTTGACCAGCGCTAAACGCCTAAGAGGCCCCCCAGCACACGAGGAGATTAAACTGTCAGACAGCAGGGCCCCCCGGCGCCCATGCAGGAGGGCGGACGAGCAGCTCGGGGGCCATTCAGAGGACGCGTCCTGGCGCTGGGTAGGGAGGAGACGGGAAAGAGAGGGCGAGCGTCGCTGGTGACATCACAGACTGGGATGGGGGAACTTGGGACACCGCAAGATAAACTGACATCAGCATTTATAACAGCCATGGTCCTTCAACCATGTTATGAGTGTTGTTGTAGTGTAATTTGTCCACCAGAGGGCACACTACAAGTCCCCTGTCAGTAACATGTGTGTTTGGAACATACATTGGACTCTTTAATATACAGCCATAGAAACAATTAAGAGACCACTCTATATTTTTAAACAGATCTGCATTTTTAAATCATGGTTTAATCGTGGTTCTGCTGGCAGAAGGCTACACTGAGCAGCAAGATGCTTTCGGGTTCAAATCTTCTAAGACAGCAGTACACAAAAATAAGGTGAAGCAGGGGAAACTGGGAACGACCAGAAACCAGTCAGGAAGACGGAAGCAACATTCTAATGCCAGACATGAGCATTAACCTATCCGACAGTTTCTCATCAATCGAAGGATGACATCAAGTGACCTTTAAAAAGAATGTGAAATATTAAGTGCAGGTGTGAAGTGCACTGCTAGGACAGTTCATATCAGGCTCCTAGAAGCAGGACTGAAGTCCCATAAAGCAAGGAAGAAGTGCTTCATTAATGAGAAGCAGAGAAGAAACAGACTGCAGTTTGCAGAAAAATACATATTATTTACAGACACACACCCATAAATTGAGAGAGTGAAACAAAAAATTGTGCAGTAGTCTCTTAATTTTTTTCTGCGGCTGTATTTTGTTGTACTTCTGTTCAAAGCACTATTTATGACAATAAAACAAGTAAATTTTTAACAGCATTATGTCATGTTATCTTGGTGAGGACTTTTAATAGCTACTCATCACAAATGTCAGGGAAAAATCTTTATTTTTGTGTTTTTTCTGGGGGGGAAAAAATATAGAATATCGGCTGATATGCCATTATCGGATTTCTAAATCTTCAAATATCAAAATCGGTATTGCTATCGGAAAAACCCGCATCAGTCGGGCTCTTCCAAGCAGCGAGCAGACCTATGTTGTCCGTAAGGTGAGGGGCATCATCCCAGGCGAGGGAAGGAGAACAACATATGTGAGAAGGACAGAGTGCCTGAGCCTGGAACTAGAGAAGCATGATATAACAGTTAATGTGTCCGTAACGGCTGATATTTATTAAAAATCAAGATACTGGTATCGGACTGAAGTGTCAATCTCGGCCGATATTGCAGGCTGACATTTAAATTTTATTGATATTCAATAAATTAGCACCAGAGCTAATAACACAACTGTAAAAATAATGGCGACGACTGCAGGTGACAATCAGCCATTTTCCGCAGTGGAGGATGAGGGATTTCGTCGGCTCGCTCAGCTCTTATAAGAGTATCGGCCTGCGACATGTTTACAACTCATTATTAAATCTGCCCACAGATCGATCTTTCGTTTTCCATGAATAAAAAATTATGCAACATCAATCCGCTAATCAGCGCCAGCAAATTTCACCACAGGCGACACCCCCCCACCCACCCACCCACCACCAATACTGGTGATCAGTATCAGTCAAAATTTCCACATGGTGCAGCACTACCTGGATCTACACCTCTAAACCCACACAGGCCTGCTACAAAGACTGAGAGAGTTGGTCGGGTGGGCGTGTCCTGGCCCTCACCAGCCACAAATCACGGTCATTCGGGACTTCAATTGGTTACGATTTTCTCATGACACCGGGTGAGAGACGCCATGAACAGTTACTTCTGAGTCCTGAAGCATAAACTCAATGGTTTTTATGGGAAATTCCCGAGACTGAGTCTCTGTTTAGTGGATAAGATTGACTGTCAGAATCAACGGCTACACTTACACAACAGACCTCAGTGAACATATTAAGCATCTCATCTGCACAGAAGGTGGATGCACTGGTGGATTATTCATCGAACACATTGACAGGAACTTGCAAGAAATTTTTTCCAAGAGGAAGAGGTAAGCAGACAGGAAAGGGTACAGTGAAGTGAGCAGTTGCATACAGTTATGTCAGTGTAAGATCAGTGACCTTTCAGGCAGCTGGAGATGATGCCTTGTTCATGAAGGCCAGAGCTTGAGAACCACTGGAGGACCTTTTCAGCTCACTGCCTTGCTCAGGACACATGTGGGCAAACTGGCTGCTTCTCTTCTCCAGTTTACTCCCAATGTCAGTGGCTGCTAACCGCTAACACTGCAAACAGGGAGACCGCTGGCCTCGGTTAGGAGTAATCGCTTTCTGAAATGGGTCCAGCAGTTTATTGAATTTCATGTGTCAGTGAATATCATTTAAAGGGGGGTGGGCCCTATTACGCTTTTCCAGTTCTCCTCTTTCCTACAATGTGTTTTATACAGGGGTGCACATAACTGGTACGCAAGTACGCATTCACCTTTAAGAACAATACGTGCGACAATCCATTGTTTGTAAAAGCGCAAATGCGTACTTATTTAATGTGCATTTGTACTGCTATGAAAACAAGATATAATGTATTTTAATCTTTATATGCTAACTCCACTTCATTTGCGGTATACAGGTTAAAATGCAAGGTATTTTCTTGTCATAGCAGCGCAAATGCACATAAAATAAGTACGCATTTGCGCTTTAACAAACAATAGATTGTCTCACATATCGTTCTTAAAGGTGAATGCGTACTTGCGTACCAGTTATCTGCACCCCTGGTTATATAGCTTTATACGCATGTAAATGGTTGGCTAAGTCCTAAGGCCCAAAGTACAGACCAAAGGGAGTAACTCTCCACTCAGAAACGCCTCACTGGAATTCCAGCCCTTACTTCCGTGACATGGTGAGGTCATCCCGTAACACGATCCTTATTGGCCGCTTACCTGCAGTGATCTTTCTGCAGACTGCAAGACAGGGGTGGGATGTGTAGGGAAAGATGGCCAATCAGAGCACACTGGGTTCATCGAGGGTGGGGCTTAAAGCTATAAGAGAGCACTTCAGATAGAGTTGTAGATAGATTGAATAGAAGTGCACAGTATGAGAAAAATAACGTGGTTCTGGAACACTGAAGCATGTATTGTGGTATTGTAGTAGATTCCAAAAATAAAATTATTAACAGACAAAAAGAGCTTAATAGGGCCCCTTTAAAATACAGTTTGTTGCATTAGGAATTTTCCAGCTACATTTCATGCACCAGTTCAGTCACGTTCTCACTCGGCTGCTGTACCATGATTAAATGTGAATACATTCAATGGGAAGTGTGGGGGGGGGGGGGCATACACGAGGGTCCCATGCACTTGTCTGGTTAAACCACTGTGTAATGAGGGGATAGTCCAGGCTTTGACCCATCGAGGGCATTCCCCATTTTATTTTGTGGTTGTCTGATAATAGCATTTTCATATGAAAAACTTCAGGAATTTCAACTTGGTTGTCATGTTGCACAAATGCTGTCCTCCCTCTGCCGTTCCTGCACCATGTACCATCTCTGCCCGGGTTTTGGGTTTTTATGAATGAAGGAGATGCTCCCGCCTGCTGAATGGACAGCGGGTCACTGCCGACGCGTCACCCATTACAGGTGCACTATGCGAAAACTGCCTATTTAAAGCCCAGCCATGATACCATTAGATTGTGTATTTCTCCTAATGTGAGTCCATCTCCGTATGCGGAGTCCATCTGCTATTGGCAGCACATCAAGAGCACCACAGTCACTCTCGCTTTGCGTGCAGGAGTCCTCCGGCCTCAGTGCTGCGACAGCCACGGAGGACAGAAGGGTGGGGTGAACATAGGAGGCTGGGATGATTCTCACTGCTGAGCACCAAGGCTGAGCCTGAGGAGAGGGCCGCGAGGAAGAGGGGGAGAGGAGGAGGGCCGCGAGGAAGAGGGGGAGAGGAGGAGGGCCGCGAGGAAGAGGGGGAGAGGAGGAGGGTCATGAGGAAGTGGGTGAGAGGCAGACGACTGCGAGGAAGTGGGCTGAGAGATGTTGGACTGGCAAAGCTGATCAATCACCATCAATAAAAAAACAGAGACCCAAGTGAAACACACAGAAGAGGAGCTAGAGGCCCAGTACTCAGGGTAACAAAGAGAGAGACATGGCTGTGTATTTCCTACCACAGCAGGAAAGAGATAGCGGAAGAAGAACGTTCGACCCAAACCACAAATACAAAGGCAACTTGGATGAAAGGCAGGACTGAAGACAGGATGGAAGCACCGGCAGGTGACAGCCGGACCCCGTCAAAGGGATGAAAAGAACACGAAAGGCCCGAGACAAGAAAAGAGTAACGATAAGAAAGAGGCAGAAGACGGCAGCACTGTGCTTACAGTCTGAAACTCGGAAGTGGCATCCCACCGAGAGCTCCAGCAGCAGAAGTGCAGAGGAGCTAGTGAGTTCCCAGGGTAGCTGGGGGGGGGCAGACACATGGCGCGCCCACCACGCTTACCTCCACCTTGGCACCGGACATGTGCAGAGGGTCCCACTAAGGACGGTATGCCAGACCCGATTGGGGTCAAAAGCCACAAATCTCAGAAGATCTAATGATGGCACATAGTGCCCCCGCTGTGAGAGAATGGGGCCTGCACCTGCACATCACCCTATTCAAAACTCCAAAAGTAATTATCAGGCTAGGAACTGCTGCTAGGACGGAAATGATCATGAAGTAGGCAGCCATCAACACAATCACATCAGACCTTAAAACAGCGTTTCCCAGACCATTCCTCAGGGCACACGGGACGGTTCCACATGTTTTTTTTATCCCAGTTTCCATCACACCTGTAAGGCATTTAGAGCTCCTGATTGCTTGGGTCAGGTGTTCTGGGAACTGGGATAAAACAAAAATGTGAATCTGTCCAGTGCGCCCCAGGGACTGGTTTGACTGGGACCAGGAACGCTGCCTTAAAGCATACATGTGCATACAAAACCAAACCACCTTAGACACACATTTTACATTTTCACCTATTTACCTTGCTGACACCTATTTAAAGTAATTGCATATTTTGTTTAAGCAATTCGGGTAAGCACTACAACAGCACCCTTCCTGGGCACTGAGAAGGCATCCATCGGGCAACATATACGAGTCCTCCAGCACTGTGCAAACTGCTTAAAAATATAACACCACAAGACTTACTTCTAACCATTAGCTGTCGAAGAAAGATAAGTTCATGTTTTTGCAACCATGTAAGACTCAACAAGTGACACCATTTCTGCTGATGAACTTGGTTCTGACACAGGATCGTCCCCCATTTATTTGGAATGCACCGTCTATTCACCCACTCAAAACGTTTTCCCCCGCGCAGCCCATATGTACCAATAGGGGGCGCGCAACACGAAAATACAGGCGGATGTGACGTAACGACCGAGAAAGATGAACGTGCGGTCGACCAATCAGCGCTCGACGCTTCGTCAGCACGTCAGACGTGACGCGGCGCGGCACATAAACGTCCCCGCCTCCATCTCAGCGCTTCAGCCCTTCAACTACAAAAGCAAAATGTCCGCCATGTTCAGAGGCTGTGTTGCTCCTGCTCTGCGGGTCTTTTACAAAAATTTAGTACTTATTGCCACTAAGAGAGCGTCCGACCCCACAACTACAAGCCAGAGGGGCAGTAGAGTCACACTGGCAGAAAATACCTCCGCTACAACCACAACAACATACAGTTTAACAGCAATTATTTACCTTAACTCCATATGGCGGTTCGTCAAATGTAACTAGCATGTACCTGTCGCCTCTACTAGCCGGATCTCGGGCACGCAGCTGTTAAAGAAATCGAAACAATACACGTTAATTTTCGCGGATTATGTTAAAGGGACTCTTAGTTCAAAAGAGGCAAGAATTCTACCGAAAACGCAGGGGTAAAATGATTTACCTTCATAAAGATCTCAACCGCGCCTTTAGCAATGTCCAGATACGTCGTACCCAAATAAGTGCGTTGATTCATAGACGCGGACGTGTCTATCAAAAAGAGTAAAATAGGCATTTTTTTAAATCATGGAGATGTAATGCTTATTTCAAAATGTCAAACTTGACATATATGACCTATTCGGCAGCCGGGGCATACATAATATCTATATGGGAATTATATATATTTTTTAATAATCAGACCCCCCCTCATATGAGGGTCCTACAGCCAGCCCTTGCCGCCGCTCGAGTACCCCTCTGTCTTAACTGAACGCTCTTAGTGCTCGCGCTGACAGGGAACTTCTCCTCCAAGCAGACCGAAACGCCCTCGCTCCTCTGCTGTGGTGCCATTGGTCCGTGTTGGCCACGCCCACTCACACAGAGTTTAAAAGAGCAGCGAGCAGGGCGAGCGGCCCCTTTGCATTCATAGCGCCGTTTGCTGGAGTTTGCTGTTTGAAGGCAGTGTCGAGCTGTTATTTTATATTGTTCCCAGCATAGTGTATTATGATTTTTTCTTTTATTTAAATGCCACAATAAGTAACACATTAAAATAGAGCGTTGCACACAGAACATAACGCTCTTGTTTCACGTTCTTGTTCCATGTCGTGCTGGGGGGTTGAGGATTTTCTCCGGAGCCCAAATTCAGTATTTAATAATTACGTCACCAGATCTGTGCCCCTGTCATCTCCCGAGTGTGGCGCTCCTCTTCAGCAGGACATAGCTTGCGTCTGTTTAATGTTATCATTTTCCGCGCTCTCAAACGGGAAGTGCACACTGCGGGAAACATGGCTTCCACACCCGTGTGCTTAGTTCTAGGTGGGACGTCGGCGTTGGCATGATTGCCCTTCAATACCCTTTTAGATATGAATACCGTGATACATTTATTTGCACCGCGCTTTTTTGTAGCTTTTGATGAAAGCCCTGTACTATATGGGCTAATATAGGGATTACTCGCATAGATGTTTGCTTTCTCTGAACCTTTTAAGAAAATAACTAAGAAACCTTTTCGCAGCGCTAACGGCTTGTGTACGGTCCGTTTGCGTACTGCTGAGATTATTGTTAACGTGGGAGAGGAACAGACGCGAAGCAGCTCGCTAGAACATGGAGCAACGCATCCAAGGAGAGTCATTAGACTATAGTTAATTTTAGCATGGCCTCTTTTGAAATATTGTTTTCATTCAATAGCAGCGGAAGGTAATACTAGCTCCGTGCTTATTTGTAGATGTTGTAATTCGTAGAACAGAACAGCATTTGGTTCTCAAAGAAACATCCACGAGGGCCACTGTAACCTTTTAGTGTTTTGTCGGTACATGTGTCCGTTTCGCGCTGCACCCCGAGTCCCCACCGGGACAGAAGCATTTTCAATAGCATTACTCAGCAGTAGGTTTACTGTTATAGACAGTGAGTCTCACCCAAGCAAACAGATCTGACAGCGATTTAGGGCACACCCGTTCCGCTTTGTTGTTTTACAACCGCCAAGCTCTTGTGTGTCCAGTAATTTACATTGTAGATGTATATTTTAATGTTTTATTGTACAGGTTACCCTCTACTTATATTCGCGTGTATTGACCATTATAGTACGAACGTGAACTATATTACTTTAAACACAAACTGCTCATCTTTAAAAAGGCCACTACTGTATTCTATATTTAAATGTGTGTGTGTGTCTGACCCCGACTTCTCTTTCTCCTGTATATGTCTGTTTGTCTCATGCGAGAGCAAGATGAGATATGTGAAAATTGAAATGTCCTTGTTTGCTGTACAATGGCAATAAATACATTATATTCTAAACACTGTTCTCTCTCCATTACGAATATATTAATTAATTAGTTAATTTCTAATTACAAGCTTGGACATTACATATTGTAGCTTTCTCCAGTCCCGTTCCAGGAAAGATACGAAGATTGTAGCTAAGTATTTAGGCACCCAATTTGACCCTTAATTGAGCAAAATTAATGTAGTTTCTCTGTCAAGTAGAAGTCCAGGAAAAACTGTCCATATTGTGGCTCATTGATAGTAACACAGATGACAGGCACAACTTCATACCCCAAGGACTGCAGAATTTTGCTGCAATCCCTAACTTATATTTACGTTATTAATGTGATTTTTTGAACAGTGAATCACCATATCTGGAAGTAAATTGGACAGAACCTAAATATGGATTAAGCAGCTAATTAATTAGAATAATATCTGCAGGGTTCTCAGCCACACCCTGTGCTGATGGAGATAATTTCGTTGGATTTATTTTTATATAGTGTCTTTCCAGGAGCTGCTCCAAAAGTGAAGAATCAACGAATAGTGTCAGTTACTGACATACAGTACATGTACGCACCCCAGATCTTTGACTATTGAGCATAGAATTTGACTTTTAATTGGTTACTGCGGCATTCAGGAAAATTAAGACTTTGTATTTTTTGTGTATGTTTGGCTGTAGGACATGACATTGTTGTATGTTGCCTTTGATATGGAAATTATACAATTAATGTCAATCGAATGTGCTTTCTCTTTTCATTCTACATATTGTGGCTATCTGGAATACCGATAAACTGCAAAGGCTCTGTGTAGATTGCCGGCTACATGTGGATAGCAGTGTAAGTATGTTTAAGATCTGAGTTGTAGAAATCATTTTATAATTTCCAGAGGTGATGCTGGTTGAAAATCCTGTGATGTGTATCACTGTCTATGACTTAATTAGTCAGACTGACCCTGAAAATGACCACAGGAAGGGTGGCGGTAGGAGTGGGGGGTTAACTATGAAGTCCAATACCTTACAGGCTACAGAATCCGAGACATCACCAAATAAGGTGAATGTGAAGTCCTTAAAATTCTGAACCCCAGCCAATAATAACTGATAGTCCCTGTTTATTTATAATAGAACCTGGACATAAGAAGAGTTTTAAGACGTTACAGTTCTAAGATTTCGGAATTGTGACGCTCCCGCTCAACCTGGCTCTACTAACCGTTAAAAGAATTATTTTGTTCGCAATTTGTTGCAAGAGGACGCTCGTGCTAGTGCTACGCCTGCCTCTTAGAGAGCAAATGCAAAATGACTGTGGGAGCTAAGCGGAGAAAACAGTAATGACGTCATGCTGTGCCGGAACAGCCTTGGGCCGCCGCTATCCCAGCAGTCTCTGCGCCAGCCGCAGCACAACGACAGAAATAAGGAAAGAAAACAACACGCTGGCTTTTAAACAGAATTACACTGGCAAGTAGCAAACATCAACAATACAGACAGGAAAAGAAAAGGTAAAGTTTTAAAATCTGATTTCTCACCCAAATATAGAGTGACAGCTGGCTGGTAAGCTCCTTTGTATTAGAAAGAAACCCTACTAGACAGTAGGCGATCAAAACAATAAACAGCTGCACTGAGAATTATGAATTATTATCTGACTTATCTTTACAAGATGAATATTAAGTAAAGGCTCCAGTGCCCCCGTGTTAGCAGCAAATTAAACTAGCAGAGTCATGTTGGTTATCTCGGTTTTACTATGAAATGCGACTGACATAATGTACAATTTAGACATGTTCTGAAGAAGCAATTTTCCACACTACTAATGGATAATTGTTTATATTTATTTTAACTGTCTAAATGAATAGGCCTATTGATTCTAGTTTTCGGTGTTTATTTTATCGTAATGAGCGATGTTATTTCTAAGTAGCTGTGCTGCTTACCTTGCTAGATATTTCTCGACACTGCTTGCAGTCTGATCGGGCTATATATATCTGCCAGTCTGTCCGCTGTCAATAGTATTCGCGAAACTAGCAGGTACACTCTAATCTGTTTTGCCTGATTTTCAACTGCCATCGGGATGAAACGAAGTGACTCATTTTTATAAAGATTTTACTAAGTAACTCATTTTTATAAAGATTTTATAAAGCGTGGGGAAGTCTTATACCTGATAAATCAGCTATTCTAGCTAGAAAGTAAGTGAAATTATGTATGAAATATGATGGGTCTGTCCAGGTTTGACAGCATCGCCACCAGCTCGCGAGACCAGCGTCCCTTTAAAGGAGACCCACGCGACTACCCACGTGACGCTTCAGCTTTCAAGCTGCTCTTAATGGAAATAGTCAGTTTTCGGTCCATCGATTCTTTTGGAGATTCGTTCAATAAACAGTTTTTAAAGAGTTTCGTTCAGAATCAGACAAGGACCCCTTGGGTATTTTATTTAAAAGAGGGTGGTCCCTTCTACAGTTAATATAATAAAGTAAAAGCATTTAAAAATTCAGACTGAATTATATATATATATATTTCCACACACAAACACAGTATATATTTCTACATATATTTCTTATAATGTTTTAAACAATATTTAGTAAATTAGATTATAAATTTGCCTAATTATGAGTGGCCAGCATGGTGGTGCAGTGGTTAGCACTGTTGCCTCACATCTCTGGGACCACAGTTCAAGTCTGTATGTCTGCCATGGCCCTGTGTATGTTCTCCTTGTGTTATCATGGGATTTCTGCTGGGTACTCACCCCCCAGTCCAAAAACATGCTGTCATTAATTGCAGCCATAATTGTGAGCATGTACACACCCTGCAAGATGCTGGTCCCCCCCCCCCTTCCTGGGTTGTGCCCATAGGCTCCAGGCACCCTGGTGACCCTGAACAGTTACAGAAAATGGATGGTTGTATTTGCTCCATTATATACTACACCAGTATGTGGCAAGATAGGGGCTTGAGAAACTCTCAGTGGATGAGGTGAATGACGCAGTGTAGTCAGGGCCGGCCCTGAGTGTTCAGTGGATGAGGTGAATGACGCAGTGTAGTCAGGGCCGGCCCTGAGTGTTCAGTGGATGAGGTGAATGACGCAGTGTAGTCAGGGCCGGCCCTGAGTGTTCAGTGGATGAGGTGAATGACGCAGAGTAGTCAGCACCTGAGGGGAGATTCTGCTGAGCATTTCTGAAAGTTGTAACTCAGGGCAGTCAGTCGGTGTCTGGCACATGCCCAGGGATATTTTATAAACAGAAAAATCTATGGATTGTCAGTACTATGGTGTTACTATTTGTGCGAATTATGCACAAAATGAGAGATTCCCCTTTTCTGAAGGTCAGTCACCACAGCAGCCTGTAGAACAGAAAGTGCATGAGGACACAGGCAAAACAGACAGTACAAAAAAGCTGACATTGATACTTAATAAACAGATGCGGAGATGGATGAGTTGGACTGCTGGTTATTGTGTGTATGGTTTGACCTGACCTGGTCATTGATTACGTAGGTACTGACTCGCAGTAATGTCCAGTTACGGTCTGCAGGATGGAGTGAGGGGCCATTGGCAGGAGGCATCATACAGTCTTATGGCCCCAGTAGTGCTTCTGGTCACTGTGTGGTGGGGTGACAGTGGAGAAGGGCGCTTATGGATATAGCACGGTCTTTCCCAAACCAGTCCCTGGGGCACACTGGACAGATCCACATTTTTGTTTTATCCCAGTTCCCAGAACGCCTGACCCAAGCAATCAGGAGCTCTAAATGCCTTACAGGTGTTATGGGAACTGGGATATAAAAAAAAAAAAAAAACATGTGTATCTGTCCAGTGTGCCCAGAGGACTGGTTTGGGCAACGCTGATGTAGCATCATAAAGCTGACGGGAGACTTTGCTCATGATGACCGAAACCATTAACATCATCTTTACCCTGCAGAGTATCCAGAGCCAGCCCCCCTTTCCAACTGGTTTACTTGCCTTGGGTCCCCTTTCATGACGCTGCTCCCCCAGCAGGACACAGTGTAGTAATTATCTTGGCTAGCTGTCAGCTGGCAGGACATGGGCAGTAGGCTCCCATATATCAGAAGAATAGCCTGCCCTGGCCTTGCTTGTGCAGGACGCCTGTGCTGTAAATCCTGCCCAATCTGCTGCACCCATGGGTAACTGTATGGTGGCACCACCCACAGATGGTGCCTGGCCTTACAAACTCTCTGGCATAAGAGAACCCCACCCCCTGCTCTGTCGTCTTACGGATGCCAAGTTCTCCTTTATCTCCATTATCAACACGCTCGATGATGGAGGAATCAGCAGCGTTTCGCAGCTTGTGGTTGTTTCTTTGTCTTTTCGCGTGTAGGGTGAATCAGTACGAGACAGAAAAAGTCCCAAAGTCAATGAAAACGTGGTTTTGTGGCGCTTTAAGGCATCACATACAGCCTGGTACTTCATCTAAGGAGAAAGTGTCTCTTTCTCCCTTGTGGCCAACTTTGGAATGAACTAGAATTGTATAGTCAGTCCTCTGGCATGAGCCGAAGGCTGTGGACATGTTCCAGAAGAGGGTAGAAGAGCAGAGCTATTCCAATCACGGTCCTCAAGGTCTGAGTCCTGCTGATTTCCCAGCCTTCCTTTACCCGTGAACCAGGTGTGAAGCCTCTGACCAATCAGAACCAATAATCATTAAACTAACTACCTGGGAGAACTGAAAACGAGGCCTGGATTCGGAATAGAGCTCCAGATTTGAAGAGCTCTGGTATAGATTCTGAAGGGTGCCGTGCTGTGTAAGTGCCCTAAGAATGGCACAGCACAACTCTAATGGAAAAACCCCCACACCCACCATGACATAAGCACAATAAAAGTCTCCCTGACATTGAGTGTGCTGCAGCTGTATTCTCATAATAAAATGCCGAGAATAACTTTGACATCAGGGGAAAAAACAACTCATTTTTAACTGTATCTGTCTGTCCTTTCCAGTTTCTTCAGATAAGTGTTAGAAAACTTACATCTGCCATCTCTTTCCTTAGTATGCGGGAGCGCTAAGGGGCTAGAGGAGCCGGCCCACCACAGTGGCAGAGCGCGGAGGGGGGGGGCAGCCACACGGGCCGTGCCAATGCGCCGGCGGCCTGAGCAGGCGGAGGGCAGCCTCCCGGTTTTCGTCTTCCCCACAGAGCTGTTCTTCTACGCCGACGAGCAGGCGACACACAAGCGCGTGCTCACCCTCTACAACCCCTACGAGTTCGCGCTGAAGTTCAAAGGTGACTGCACATGCTCAGTGTGCTCATTGGCTATGCACGTCTGTATATACTCTATGATCAGCTTCCGCAAACATGCAGGGCAGGGCTGTAGGCGGAGTTTGACGTTTGCACTTGGGGGGAGGCAAAAAAACATATCTTGTTTGCCTTATGTGTTAAACCACATATCTGATCACACATCGCCTATTATTCTGTCTGGCTATAGTTACCAACAAACCAACCATTAATGCAGAGCCGCAAAGTGCCAGCATAGAACATAGTGACTGGGAGTGCCCCCCCGCCCAGGGCGGAACTCTGTCACATGATAGGGCTGTAATTACAATAGTGATACAACCGTCAACATAAAAACAGTGTCAGGGCCCCTTTAAGAAAGTCAGGGCGACGCCAACACAAAACTCCTGCAACTGCAAGGAAACACAGTGATCTCAAGCTGAAGCAGACATCTGCCCTGGGCTCCGAGCTCCAAAGAGCCGCCCAGCTGACCCTGTTTAAACTCTAATGAGGAAATCGCTCTAATCAGCGTCAGCTGTGTTTCATAATTGGACATTTTTTTTTATGCGCCGGCTGATCAATTGCCATGGCAACAGGAGAGCTCACGCTGCACTGCGTTGCCCACGGCAGCCGATGAAACGACATGACCTGTGTTCTTGTCAGCCTGTGCTGTATAATGACGCAAAGCCTCTGCTCTCAGTGCTGTGCACGGCGCCTAACAGGTATGCGGTGGTGGACGCCAGCGGCGCGGTGAAGCCACAGAGCTGCGTGGACATGTGAGTGACGCCAGCTGCTACTTGTCCGTTTCCACAGCAAACGACCTCAGTGCAGAACCGGGCCGTGAGATTAGTGCCACGTGGAAAGTAATTAGTTCAGTTCAGTCCTTACGAGCTGCTTTGGGCCTGGAGATGATACCTCTCTCTGCGACCTGCAATTGCACAGGGCTTTTTTTTGGGGGGGGGGATTTCATCCTTGATTACACAGTAAAATTAGCTCTGTGGAATCAGTTCCCAGAGTCGATTTGATCTCTGTGGGTTCACAGTCAATTTGAATTCCTTAGAATTTGAATGCATTTCCATCTGTGGCCCCCGCCCCCCCATTCAGCGTGATCCGGCACAGGGACGTGCGAGCCTGTCACTATGGTGTCGTCGACAAGTTCCGGCTCCAGGTGACCGAGGAGAGCCAGCGCAAGGCCCTGGGCCAGAAGGAGGTGATAGCCACCCTGCTCCCCTCTGCGGCTCTGGAGGGCTCCTCACCCAGGCCCCAGGAGGAGGAATACAGAACGAGGGAACAGCTGATGAGCGGCGCACTCTTTGAGCAGGGCACACTGCCGCCAGGTGGGATGGAGTCTACTGCAGATGGCACATTTGCTCCAGCAGAGGGTGCATTATAAGCTTTAACTGCTTAAAAAGGCCTTAACTTGCCAGGAGTAAGAGTAAGGATACATCAAATATACGTAAATAGAGAGCGATGTCTTCATTGTATCACAATTGTCTGGTCAGTGCAGGGTGTGTATCTGGCTAAACCGGTATAGCCTGCAGGTTGCATGTTCCTCCACTAGATGGCACCAGCGTCCACATGACCGATTCACTCCTGGCAAACGGTAACCCAGTTCAGCTACTCAGAGGCTGCGTGTGTGGTGGCTCTGCGTGTCCCACAGAGAAGCGCGTGGTGGGTGGAGGCCCCGGGGTGCTGACGGTGCTGCTGGGGCTGCTCTGCATGGCCGTCCTGGTGCTGCCCACCGTGGGAGAGCAGGGCTCCTCTGTGCCCGTCTGCCTCCATTTAAGCGTCAACAAGAAGCTGGTGGCTGCTTACGTTCTAGGTCAGTGCTCTCAGCGGGAAGTGACAGCGCAGAACATATCGGGCTATCTGACCCGCTGTGGTGATGCCATCAATTCCGCACGTTAGCAGAGTTTGCAGCTCGTAAAAAGCTTAAAGCCAGCGTTAAGTGCCTCGGTGACATTCCGGCACTTTCTGTCTCTGGACAGGTCTTCTGACGATGGTCATCCTCCGGACGTGACACCCCGGCGGCGTCTCCCTGGAGACGATGGACGGTCACCAGCTCATGGACATTTCGGGGTGAAATGTGTCTCTGACTTTTGGGAGGTGGGGGAGGTTGCGAAGGAGGACGTTGTAGTCCTCGGGGCGAACGGCCAAATGCAGCGACGGCGAACGGACAATTGCTGCTCGACACGGGACAAGATGGGGGTGACCCTGTGGATGGGGGATGGGGGGGCGGGCGTAGGGGAAATGTAAAGGGAAAAACGGTTATTAAACGATATTGCGTCAGGTTCTTCTGCATCGGCTGTGTTCCTGCATCTGCCCCCTTCCGGTCCTCATGTGTGATGGAGCGACGTGACAGTGATTTGGGGACATGCGGCCGGTCACGGCCGGTGCCAACACACACCACCTCACCACCTGCTCACTGAATGAGCTGCTTTAAGAAGGACTCGATTTGCCGAATCCATGCATCTTCCGAACTTTTGGAGCATCGTTAAGAATACAGTGATGATGCAATCACGAAAAAAAATTGCTTACAAATAATTCAATGCAAACTTTATTAATAAAAGCCTCTGTTACATCCCTGGTGTTTTACAACCGAGATTTATAGCCGAGTGTTTCAAAAGCAAACAGACGGGTGGACAAGCCCCGTCCCCTCCCTCCCTACGGCCGCCCCAGTTCAGATGCATTCCGCATCCATGCCCCAGGTGACAGAGGGCACAAGGCAGGGCACCCCCTGGACAGGATGCCAGAGCACTGAGAGGAAGCCCATGCAGGCTGCACACATGGAGCAGCATTCGGAGGTCAGCCCTGGAGGGGCAGATATGTACTGACACCCGGCGACACGTTGGGCGGAAAGCCCCAGTTACGCGAATAGCACACCTCCTGCAGTTACGCGAATAACGCACCTCCTGCAGTTACGCGAATAACGCACCTCCTGCAGTTATGCGAATAACACACCTCCTGCATTTACGCAAATGACACACTTC